AGGGGATGGCATTTTTGCAGGAAGGTGGGTGGGAGGAGGTGTATTCTAGGTAGCTGTGGGAGTCGGTGGGCTTGAAACGGATATCGGTTTCCAGGTGGTTGCCGGAGATGGAAACAGAGGGGTCCAGGAAGGAGAGAGAGGTATCAGAGATGGTCCAGGTGAACTTAAGATTGGGGTGGAACGTGTTGGTGAAGTGGATGAACCTCTATCCATGCTAGTATCTTGCCCCTAACAAATGGGCTCTCATCTTCTTTAGCACCTTGTCAAAGGCCTTCTGGAAATACAAATAGATCACTGGCTTTCCTTTGCCTAGCATGTTCATTATCTCCTCAAAGAATTCTAAAAGATTTGTCACATTAACCTCACCTTGATGAAGCAATGGTGACTCAGTCCTTTTCTATCATGCACTTCCAAGTACTCTGCAATCTCATCTTTAATAATGGACTCCAAAATCTTACCAACAACAGAGATCAGGCTAACTAGCCTGTAATTTCTCTTCTGAAACAAGGGCTCACATTCACCATTTTCCAGTCCTCTGGCATCCTCCCTGACGAGTGATTCCTCAAAGATCACCACCAGTGCCTCCACAATCTCCTCAGCTATCTCCTTCAGAACCACGGTGTCGTCCATCTGGTCTGGGTGAGTGATTTATCACTCAAACCTTTCAGTTTCCTCAGTATCATCTCCTTAGTCATGGCCATTACATTGACCTGTGCCTCTTGATCTCAAAGTTCTGGTATGCTGCTGGTGTCTTGCATTGTGAAGGCTGATTCAAAAACAAAAGATCCAAACACAGCTCCAAGGCGAAGCGCCACCAGCTCCCACTACACACCCAATTTCTGTCCACTAGTCACTTGTGAAAGCATGCAGTTTTTAAAAGTGGTATAAACAAATATAAAGTATTCTTAACAAGCCCAATAACACTATTAAATATCACATGCATACGTCCAGAATACTCCCACAACCAATCAACTTTAGATGCATCAAGCTTTTTCCATTTAATGTGACAATCAAGTACCTTGTAGATGATTTTTGCAGTGTCACTCAAAATACATGGGGTCCAGTTTTCATCTGCTGTCTAGAAATAAAAAATTTTGGTTAATATGTGGTGTATGCTGTATGCAGGCACAAACTGCCTCAGTGGAAGGAGTCGCAAATAGTACTGAACATTGTTCACTGAAGGTTTCACATAATCACTTCTGACAACATGTTGGAGGACAAGTCAATGTTGAAGTATTTAAGATGGTTGGATGTTGCACAGTACCGAGAACTTAGTGTGAACCACTAGGCATGAAACAACTGATCTCCAACAGTCACAACGATTATCCTTAGGTATGGCCCAAAGCAGTGCATCTTTGTTTCCTTATTTCCATTGACTTCAGATTTAAACTTTGCTTAGATACACTGATGCCTTATTCAAATCAAATTCTGGACTGATGCTATCGTCAAGAGAGCTGAAATCAGTTGTTTCATGCCTAGCTGAAATCAGCTCTTTTGTCCATGCTTTGACCAAGGTACAGTCAGGTCCAAACTCAAGTGGTCCTAGCAAAAGCCAACTGGATATTAGTTAGCACCATTTATCAACAAACCTTGAGATCACTTGGTTGATAATTCAGAAATCAACTGATGGGGCAGTGATGAAAAGAATAGATTCATCCTACATTTTTATGAACAGGATATAACTGAGCAATTTCTGTTTATCTGATAGATGCTAGTGTTTTGTTGCACTGGAGCACTACGGTTAGGGGTGCAGTGAAGTCTCCAGTATTTCAGTCAGGATGTTAACAGATTTTACTTTTCAGCCGTTTCTTGTAAATAGCGTCTTCCGGAGTCAAAAACATATCATCCACTTGGTCCTTCTGACTGAAGATGGATGCAAATGCTTCAAACTTTTTTTTTTGCACTGAAGTGCTGGGCTTTCCTGCCATTAAGAACAGGAATGCTATGTAGTCGCCTCTTGCTTCTGTCAGCTGTTTTAATTGTCCACCACCGGATGTGGTAAGACTGCAGACACCTTATTTGATCCATTGATTGTTGGGCCATTTAGCTCTGTCTTCAGCATGCTGCTTCCACTCTTGACAGCATACAATCCTGTGGCTTCTCATGTTGAGCTAAGCCTGGAGCTTCTCCGACCATACACTCCCACACCCCTCAATGGAATGGGGTTGATCACTGGCTTTCTGATAATTGTGGTATAATGTTAACAAGGTTCAGACTGTCACAGATTAGCTCTGCTGCTGTTGTCAGCCCAAAGCAGCTCATGAAAGCCCAGTCCGAGTCACTTGACCTATTCCAAATTTATCCCATTTCACATGATAATAGTATCACACAAAATGGGGATGGCCTTGGTATGGAGTCAACTCTTAGTCTCCATAAGGACTGTGTGGCAATCATTCCTATAAATACTGTCAATGACAAATGATAAGGTGGAGTAGGCTTCTCCTTATTGATCGCTTTCTCCAAGCTAGTGTTTAACTCATACCCAGACCCTGGCATAAACAAGAGGGCAAAGCTTTTCTATCAAATGATGCAGTTGTTCAAGTTTTAACATCACATGAAACAGCTTCAACTTCACACAGGCATTAAAATTTGAGAAGTAGATTTAAGAATTAAACCTATCGCAATTTTACCCTTTTTTATGGCATGCACAGAACATGATTCAATTTTGAACATTTCATTTATCCACTAAAACGAAATTTTCTACTTATTGAGTGTGAAATGGATAAGCGAAAGATTTCTTCAGTAATTTTAGAATTAGTCACGTGACATAATTTGTGTAGCAAGGACTGCGCCGTTCACCCCTGCCAACTCATATCCCTGCAACTGAGCTGCCCTTCCATTTGGTTGCTGTAATATTATTTCACATTAGGTTTAGCTTATAATCACAGGATGACAAAATGAAGCAGAGCAAAATAGCAGACAAAGACACATCCCTCCCTGACATGCTCAATGCTTTCTATGCTCAGTTTGAGCAGGATGCCAGCAGCGTGGGGTCACCTGTCCCGACAGCCCCAGCCACACCTGTTCCCTCCATCACCACTGCAGATGTCAGATCGGTCTTCCTGAGAGTTGTCATTAGACTGATGAATGGACATTGTAACTGTAAATCATGTTGATCTTGTTATGCAGCCTGCTGTGCAGTGTAACCTGAATGCCTCAATCTGCCCAAGCACCCAATGATGTGTACGTCCTTGCTTACTATGATCTGCTTGTAGTGCTTGCAAACAAAGCTTTTCACTGTACTTAGGTACATGTGACAATAAATCAAATCAGATCAAATTAATAAAATTTGGATGAAGCATTAAGCTAACTTTATTTATGCATATAAAAGCAAATCCAGCAGCCATTCCCCCAAACTCTATAATTTCACAATTGAAACCTAATCAGTGTCAACAGCAATGAAAATTGCACATTAGAAACCTCCAAATAAATGAAGCCATGTTATTTTCAATAAATAATATTTTCAACATTGCTTTTCCAATATTGGAAGGAAAATATGAAGTGTGTATAGAAGTTAGAACTGTTAGATGTGTAAAATGTGTATTTTAGTTTGATAAGGTGTAATATGTTGCAGCTTGACAATTAATCACAGAAAGCTACAAGTTAAGTACACAGAAACCTGGCTATTAACTTTATTAACCAATACATTTCATGTTGACATTTAAAGTTACTTGATATATAATTTTGAACCAAAATAGAAAGAAATTCAATTTGTTGACAAAGGACTGCTACAAGTCATTCAACCTTTCATCTTAGCTTATCAACCAACACACAGTAGCCAGAGAACGGTATCAATGTGGCAACTTATCATTCGTCTCATCCACCCCAAGTAATGTAGAAATGCCCCATGAAACAGACAGACTTGTTGTGCATGTTGTGTCAATGTGACTACAGTTTCATCTCAACAAAATCTCAGCCATAACTATAATGCAAAGTCATTCAAGACCAATTCAGTCGAACAATTGTCTGAGAGAAGAAGAACTAAACCAGCAAGAGCAAGCTGTGATTGTTGGCTCTGACACATTGACCCTGCTTTTCTCTAGTGCTGCTACTACTGCAGGCACAGTTGTCACATACAGAAATTAAAATGCAGGTCATCTTCACTACTGTCCAAGACGCGAGACATTAGGGTTTTGACAACTGTCATCGCTTGTAATATTCACTACAATCGAGATTAAGTTCACCTTACCAATTTTAGAAAAGGAACTTAAATTCTATCTGCAACCTTGGTGGATTGAACTTCTGCCTCTAGCGCGTTAGCTTGGGATTACTAGTTCAATGACATTATCACTATTTTACTGTCTTCCCTAAATTTGTAGTGTTTTTACAAATTAAATGCAACAGAAAGGGGCAGCCAACTTTATAGCAGAATTCTTGGACAGTGGATCCTCAAAAAGTTCCACATTTGTCAAGCTCGACTTTCCCTTCATAAACAACTATCATCGTTTGTTCTAAATGCCCAAATGGGTCATTAGAGTTCTTCAGGGAGAAAAATCCCATATTCTTACCTGGTCTGACCTAGATGCAACTCCAGGCCCACAATATGTTTGACTATTGACCACCCTCTGAATGGCTTGGCGGTAGTTTAACATGGAGGTTCACCATGTCTCAGGTTGAGAAGGTGAATCCTTCATGGTAACCTCAGCCAGTGTGAGAATTTAACACACACTGCTTACAGCACTTTGCATCACAAGCCAGCTGTCCAACCAACTGAGCTAACTGATACCCCTATCCTCTGAATGGCTTAGGAAGGCATTAAGTTCAAACGCAATTAGCGATGGGCAACAAATGCTGACTATCTGTAGTGCCTATATCCCATGAAAGAATAAAAAATAAGGAACTGACTCCTGAATACATTGGAAGCATCAGATCTGTGGAGTTTAACTCATTTAGATTGTGGCACAAATTCCAGCACAGGCTAAGATCTTGGATGAGATGCAGCCAGAAACTCTGTTAACAGTTATTTGTGGATGCTATTTACATTATTCTGAAGGCTTTGTGCCCGTGTATAGGAAAATCACCCCACATGGATGCATGACAAAAGGCAAGATGGAATGAACTCCTGCTTACAGCAAGCACCGAATTCTGTCAGGTATCACCTGTTGCTCAGTCACCAATGATCTGATTCATTTCCAAGAATAACTAGGTAATCGGTTTTAGTGATGCTGGTCAGTGGATGACACGAATGCAAGATTCAGTAATGTTTAACAGATTTTTGTCAACAAATTCAAGTATATTGCTTCCCTGTACATCATAATTTACTTATAAACTTTACATGTCAACATGGAACACAACCTTTAATTATGGTAATAACAGGATTTCACTTGACCTCATAAGCAGTTTTTTTGAGATTAATTGCCAAGCTGTAATACATTACATCTTACAAACCTAAAATCAAGGGGATTGGGGAGAACTCCTTTTACATGCCTAAGGACTCTATGAGACAAACACAGAATGCTGAACAAACTGGCAGCATCCGTGGAGACAGAAATAGCATTAATCTGGAGTCCGATATGATTCTGACTAGATGAGACCTCAGTTCAATATCTCGTCCTAAAGACGGTACCTCCAACCGGGCAGTGCTCCATTGTCACGAGTTGGACTGTTGGCCTAAACCACATGTTCAGCTCCTGGAGTAAGACATCAACCTATGACCTTCCCACTCAGGTCAAGGTGTGATTTAGCGGGCCACAGTTGGGAGGGCTACACATGAGAAGAAGCGTGTTTCTCAAAATAATTAATTATTTTAATACCAATAAGAGCTACATCATTCCCTTCACATAGAGTCTGTTAATACATTGGTCACAGCCTAGATGATGAACTACAAATCTGCCTAGGCTATAAGCAACTACAAATGATCATCATCATGCTATCATAGTGATCACTTGCAGCAAAAACTGGGTACTTATTAAGCCTCCTTCACTTCAATTTAAATCATTTACATTAGTTCATGAGAAGTTTTTCTTTTAAATCCTTTCCTGAAATGCAAGCAGTACCGACAAGGCCAGTATTTACTGCTCATCTCTAATTATCCCCAAGAAAATGGTCATGAGCACCTTCTTGTAGTCCATGTGGTAACTGCAGTCCCTGGGTTACAAACAAGTTCCATTCCAGAGTATATTCACGAGTTGATTTGTACCCAAGTTGGACCACAATGTAGTACAAGAAAATAGCTGCAAGTACAAGTGAACGCTCATATCTGGCTCTTAATAATAATAATGCAGAATCTCATCCCTAAATTTAGGCGTTTATAAGTCAGACATTGGACATTCTGCAGTTCTGAGGAAGGGTCGCCAGAACTGAAATGTCAACTATGATTTCTCTTCACAAATATTGCCTGACTTGCTAAGCTTTTCCAGCAACTTCTGTTTCTGAACCTTCATAACACTCTGTTTAGCCACAATGACATTGTATAATAACCAGAACTGGACACAAAGATGTGAGGATCCTTGAAAGGGTGCAAAAGATAATTTGTTTTTCCTATTACACAGGATGTGGGAATCACTGATTAGGCAAGCATTTAATGCCCATCTCTAATTGCCAAAGTGATGGTGATGACATGCTTTATTTGAAGCACTGCAGTCAATGTGGTGTAGATACACCCATTGTGCTTTTAGAAATCAAGCTCCAGGATTCTGATGAAGCAATAACAAAGGAACAAGATCCAGTATGGATGTAGGGAGGAGGAAATTTAGCTACACAGCTCGGTTGGAGAAGCTGGATTGTTCTCCTAGGAGCAAAGAGGATTGAGGGGAGATTTGATAAAGATGTACAAGATAATGACAGGCTAGTGGAGACAGACAGAAAAACTGCTTCCATTATCTCATCACCCAAAGACTAGGGGTACAGATTTAAGATTCTAAGCAAGAGAAGATGTAGGGCTGATGTGAGGAAGAACTTTAATGAAGCTAGTAGTAATGAATGGAGCTGGAGACTATCAATAATCTCATTAAGGAAATTAACGGCAGGACCACATGGATAGATTTGACTAAATGACATTGATTAAAGGGCTCTATACAAATCCACCATGGACTGAAATGGGCCTGACAGCCTTGTGGCATAAGCAACTTTTAACTGCCAAGCGTTGTTGCGTGGATTACCTGCAAACTCAGTTCTCCTAAAGTGACACCAACAGAGATCGGCCTTGAAGGGTCAGTAATCTGAAAAAGAAAAAAAAATTTACAGTCATAAGACAACTTAATTATTTAACAGCATTCATGATAATAAATGATGTAGTGACACAAGGAAACAGATTTTGTGTCCTTACGCATCATATACTGAGCATGAATTAAAATTCTGTACTAACATTTATAATTGGAATCTGTATAAAACTGGTAAGTAAATAAAGCAGAACTTTCAGCAAATGTAACCACACTTACAGCATCTTCGTATCTCACATGAATGCTTGTTATTTTGATTTGCAGGTTTTTAATAATCTGTGTTGCAAGTTTTTCTGCAAAGGAGTCCTTTTTCTCTTCTTTAGGTTTATCTTAAACAGGAATAAATAAAAACTTCTGTCATTCTTCTTTAGAAAAAAGGTGCTAAATATAAAGTGTGAACCCAGTAACTGACAAGTAATTCTGAGATGTGCTTTTAGACAATGTTTGAACATCAAGATTGCTTGCAAATTAGAAGCTGCCCTGGAGAAGCCCTTCCATTAAAGTGAAGGCAGATGTCAATCACACATCTGAAGAGGACACACCATCGATCACATGGCTCTAAACCTCAACAGTTTAGGTACATATTGTTGCAAGGGAGATAAATGCTCAAACTACCTGGTGCTATATGCTGCGTCATCAATAGGCATCTGACAGCATTTGTTATCAATCAAAACGCTCAAACTTGTATTGTCTGATGAACAAATTGTGTTCATCCTTCTTGGGAAGTGATCTAATAGCTCAGTCAGGTAAATGTGTGAAATTTCAGTATCATTGCACTGAAAGCCAGTGTCAATAATACAATTTGGCAAAAATCACCTGTCATCAGATCTTACTGTTTGGTTCCTGATAACCCTTTCTCCCCCACTATCCTGTGCTGTTATGTTGCATAGTTTTATGACATTAAACTTGACTACTAAACTAAATAATACTCAAGCATCCCTAAACCTTAGCCGTTGCCATCTTTCCTCCAAGGTCTCTTCAGCTAAATTACCACCTTAAGTAATAAACTTCGAGAGTTTATTTCAGAAATAAAAACCTAATCATATGCAGATTTTCTTTTTGCTTAGTATATGAATGTTTCCATTTCGAATACAATAATGTTAGTAATGCAACACCTGGGTAATTAAATGTGATCCATTTAATAGTTCTGCTCATTCTTCCAGGCAAGCTTGACTATGTACCCTATGTGCTGATATACTGTCATTATCTACAACCTGCTTTGACCAGTTCATCCACCTCAATGCATTACAAGAAATTCAAGAGAAAAGTAGCCTAAGAGCTCTGCTCAATGAAGTGATTCCCCCTTCCCCAATTTCAGCAGCAAAAAAAAAAAAGGGTCAGTTTTTCATAAGTGGCCTATATAATCTGTTAATGCAAATAGTACATGAAATTAGATTCCAAAATATACTGGGAAAACACTTAGATCAAATTCTGTTCAGTTGTCTGCGGCAACTATAAACTCCCCTGAATTGAAGGTCGATTACTAAACCCAACGTATCTGAACCGGGATGAATACGAACAGGAAATACCCAGAATAAAAAGAGACCTCCATTCAAAGAAATACTAAAAGATACAAAATTAGAGGTCTTCAACAAAGCTTTGTTAATGTTTCCAAAGGAATGGAACAATCATGTATGAAACCGTACGTAAGAAAAATTGCTGGAAGTACCCAGCAGGTCATTCAGTTCCCGAGGAGAGAGTTAACATTTTAAGACATCCTTTGGTTTTGAGTCATGGGCAGCGACGGTGCGGTAGTACAGGAAGAACCAAAAGGAGGTCTGTAATAGGGTGGAGGACAGGAGAGATTAAATTCACAAGACTTCATAAACTGTATCAATCTAGAGTGGTAAATGGGTGAAATAATGCTATCAAGAGATCCACGATGGGCCACCATAGAAGTCAAATACTTAGACAATTTTGACATCGGTTATTGCTTTGTGAAGATCCCTGGCAATGCCAATGAAATTAATCTCTAGAATGAGCAAGTGTAAGCAGACAGCATACTTCATTCACCCCTGCCACAGTATACAGAATTCCAAGCATCTCAGAATTAATTGTACATCCACTGGATACAATTTCTCCTACCCAAGAAGCCTCAGAGTTGAGGTGAGAGGAGGTAAAGATATTTGTAGTATAGAAGTTTGCCTCTTCTACTTCAGTCTTTCATCTATATTCCACCAATATTTATAGAGGTAGCATGAGCTAACTCATTTTCTGCCGAGATGGTTATCCTGATGACAAAAACTTTGAAACGGAAATAATCTGAACACACGTCTTAACCATTTCCAGTGATAGGACAGTAGTTACTTTCTTTGGCAAGTGGTTCCATTGTGGGAAGATCGATAATTGATTCAGCATTTTTAAAACAAATAGTCGTTGTGGTTTGTGCATACGCCTACCTCATGATTGGTCCTTGCCACAGGTCACCACCAGGTACTGGTTTTTGTCAATTCTTACCTCTCCATTCCATATTTTATAGAACATGTCCTGTTTACTACTTCTCTCCTGTGCTGGAGTGATTCCCAACCACAACTTTGATCCAGGATGTAACACTGGCATTTTCCAATACTGATTCAGGCAGAATAATACAGAACGTCCATCGTTTTTTATCACTTCAATCTTATTGATCTTGCTTGCCATATAAAGAATCCTACAAACAACCCGCACATTCCAGGATTAGACAAAGTTTTTCATATGTTATAACGCCAAAGGTTTCTCGTCATGAGTCCAAGAAGCCGGTTTACCACAGATGTTATCTGCTGAATGTGGAATTTCCATTGAAGATGAGTTTACTTGAAAAACACAAACGGTATTTAACAGTTTGAGAATTTGATTACAGACTTAAGGCTGTTAATTGATCCTGCTTGCTCCTGATTCATTGCATTTTTTTTTGGTGTTGAATGCCATTTCCCATTGATCTTGCCACTTTTTCAATTTCAGAACTTCATCTTGCAGTGATTTCATGCAATCTTGAGATTTTCCTGGTGCGTAAACCATTAGAATCACCTGCAAACACATTCGGGTTTTCAATTTGTTGGGAAGCTCATTTAGAAGTGGACAAGCCCAAATGCTGTTCCATGGGGTAATTCAGGAAAGGAGAGCTCTGGAAGAGGATGGTACAGCACACTGTCTTCTGTTGGTAAGGAAGTACAGTAGACTGCTTGAAATAGAGCTCCTACAGAGTAGTAAGAATAGTCTGCTCTTTTAGTTGCCTGGAGAGTCAAATACATGATTGTCTGTATAAAAACCAAAACAACCGTGGATGCAGTATATCTGAACAAAAATTGCTGGAAAAGCTCAACAGGTCTGGCAGCATCTGAGGAACTGAGGAAGGGTCACTGGACCCAAAACATTAACTCTGATTTCTCTTCACAATAATTGCTTTTCCAGCAATTTACGCTTTTGGTGACATAAATTATCTGAGATGGTGGAAAAAACTGATTCTGCTCAAGTCTGCTCCTGGAAAGACAAAATAAATTCTCTGCTGGCGGGCAGAAGTCCAGCAAAACCTCAACACACTCTTCATCAAGGGTCTGTGCTGAAAAGGAAGCTGTAATCAGCATCAACTAATGCCATGCAAGTCAAACCAGCAAACAGTGATTTTGCTGACATTGTGATCAAAGCATTCATATCTGTTGCTAAGATATAATCTAATCAAATATTCCAAATTGACTTAACTAGGCTTCCCTCTACTAAGCCAATTATGTACCAAAGCCACATGCAAACTGAACTCACCATGCTCCTATAAGCCAGTCTGCATCTGGAGTGTATCTTGCCATCTGGATATATGACGGTGTTCTGACTTCTTTCCAGAAGAACAGAAGCATTCAACTCTATCAGGGATTTATCCATCAATTCCTTTACAACTCAAAACTATGCAACTGCATTGCATGATATGGCAGTTGTTCAAAACTGCCCCAAATGATGGCAGATGACTGAATTAGTGCTAAATGACAAGAAAAAAAAATGTAAAGTGGCAAACATTCTATTGGGTAAGGTGACAGGTAACAAACCTATTGCCTGCCTGAAATCAAGTGTAGCTCAGCAGAGGTGGGAACCATTCCTTCACCCAAGGAGAAAGAGGATTTCTATTTGTGTACGTAATGGACTTGTTCAACTTTCTCCCAGGCTTCTAGTTTTGAAGATATTCCATCGTGGAGCACAAAAAAACACAAATAGGGGAAAAAAAAAATGTTTCATGTACATCAATTATTATCTGCATGCAGACTCAGTTCCATGATATTTCCAGAAAACACTCATTCCAGTTTAGCCACTGGATTTTTTTTGAGGTATTGAGCAGATTGCAAAACTTCAGATCTAGGCACAATTTGCTGCAAATTAGGAAATAAAGATGTTGGAATCCCAAATAATGAAGTTATTGCTGAGAACACATTTGGAAATATCAGCACAAGTACATACTTTGAACACCTACCGAACCAGGATGATTATTACAACAATGAAGGTACAATAACCATGATCATAACACCCAAAAAAAACCAACCATCTTGAGAACAGACAAAAATACGACTTACACCTAAGAAACAAACAACTCTCTGCCCAAAGTCCTGGATATTCACTATTTGCATTGTTTAAGCATAACCAGATTCTCCATATGTTCTCAGAGGAGACACCAGAATACTCCAAATTACTTGATTGTTAACCAAACTGATCCTTGTTTTACTCCAAATTTTATATTTCCTCGTGATGGAATTGAAGTATCTCTTCGAAGCACTCTACTTTTGCATTCCTCCAAATCTGCAATCCAGGTTTCATGAAATAGTTTGTTTATGTCCATAGTATTCATCATCTTCAAATATTTCCCATCTTTTCCATTTAGAATTGAAACAGTCGAGGAAAGACTGCTATTCTTTGCTTCCAGTTTTGTACCAGATGATATGTCACAAAAAAACAAATGAGCCTTCACCTCAACAGATTACTGGCATATTCAAAGATTTTGAAATTCTGTTTATTTTCTCTAAATGCCAACATTCTCCCTCCCTCCCCACAAAACCTAAACTTCTCCTCCAGCTATCAAATCAATAATTTATA